GTTTAACATCCTTAAAAAAAAAATTAGCGTGCACCACATCACGCGGCCCGACCTTTACGCAACGGCTGGGGGTAAATTTCTCACCCCCACAAAAAGAAATGCTTATTCACTCTGTGGGACAGTCGCATTACACGTGGGCAGGCGGCTGGAAATGGTCACGTGTCCGAAAAGACGGAACGGGCTGGCCTCGTCCGCCTTGGTCGTCTCTGCCATGTGGGCCCGCCCATGGTAGATATTTTTGTTTGCGGCAAAAAATCTCACACCCGATGGCTGTCGAGACGGCGCCGCCGCCGATTCGTTGGGTTACGGCCACCGACCATGCTTTGAACTGGGACCCTTCAGCTATCACATCGAATTTTCCCTAATCCGGTCTTAAAGCTCAATGTTAACGGGCGTGCGTTGTCCTGGTCGTGCATTTGTCACACCGTTTGTTTTGTTGTCGCATTGAAGGGGGGTGCTTTTGCTATATTTTTGTTCTCTTGTCAGTCTTTTTTTTTCTTTTGCGATGGCTTGCCAATCTTCTTTTCTCTTGCGATGGCTTGTCATTTCATAATGGAACGGACCTAATCCATTTCCTGGGTCGTACGAGAAAAAGGGTCTATTTTCTGGGTCTTACAAGAAAAAGTGCATTCATTCCACCTCAACTTTGGGCAAACTAACGGTCAGGCTCATCTAATGCTGCTTTTGCTCAAAAAGAAATCCAATGCCCTGGTAGCCTTCTTGGGGGAACAAGATAAGCACCGGCAACTGTTTGTTTGTTGGAATATGTATGCAATGGCGGAGCCGGGAAAAAAATATCAGGAGGCCGAGGGCTGTTAGAACAGATTGGGCAGGGCCAAATCATTCGAAAGTAGGTTTTTAGCAGCAAAATACTCACTGATTATGCACTATTCATTAGATGATTAGCAGCAAATATGAGATGTTTGGGGGCCAGGGCCCCTGCTGGTCCCCCTGTCTCCGCCACTGCAGGTATGTGTGTGCATACATGTTGGCTTGTTGGGTCCAGTGTGGTGTGGGCACACACACGCACACCATGTCGCTGTTCAACAGCTACCTAGCTACGTACATACGTACATGTTGCTGCGTGTGCATAATTTGGAGAGTTCCAGACAACTCAACAGTGCATTACAAGATGTGTGGGTGCGCGTGTTGCTCTCTGCAGCATCTGGTAGGTACCTCCAGAAGCTCCTTCCTTCACGCCTCATATGCAGACCACGCAACTTCTTCTTTTTTAACAAAAGGAAATATGTCAATGTTACAGAGATATTAATTACACCAACCCTCCACAACAATAAAATGTCCTAAACACATTACGATGCACACATCCCAAAAGCAAAAGAAGAAGAGAAAATGAAAGATCCGCTACGGTGATCAATTCCTTGTACCTACAGCACGAACCAACACCAAGACAACACCCAAACTCCAAATTTCTTCAAAAGCGACGCATACAAGAATAAAACAGTGCACAAGTGCCGTCGTCGCCCGATCATAGATCTTAGATTTTCACTTTGAAGAAAATCCATGCTCTCAAAACAATGTCTTCAACAAGGCCACTACAAGACACAACCAATTAAGGCCAGACATTGGGTTTACACCCTGAAAGCTAAGACTCTGTACTCCTCCTGTGTTGCCGCCCCCACTTGCTGATGCCGCTACTACAAGTCACGAATCACCAAGCAAAGTCCTCATCGCCTCGAAGAATCGATCCGCCATTACCAGGCCTCATACCTCAGCCACCATAACGTTCTCCGCCACCGTCTTCACCATGGAAATCGAAATACCGACATGTCCCATAATGTCAACAAACAACGATCCTCCTGAAGCCACACGAGCTAAAATAGGGGCGCACACGACTGAATCCCATCCGATCCAGCAATCTACAGGCATCAAACACCTAATGGAGATCTCTGTCCGAGCCTTGTGGAACTCGTCAACGGCCAGATCAATGAGGGCCGACATCAAGCAGAACACCGTCTTGACGCTAGAAGAACCCTAGGACCGTTGCCGGAGGGGAGCAGATTTGGGCTGGGAGACCTAGATCCGCCTCCACTAGCCACCATGGCCGGCTCCAATGCTGCCCTCGCAACCCTGGTGGCACAGTCGCCGTCGGATCCCCTGGGGCCGCCGCCCTAGCGTTACATCTCCGCCGCCATGCCGGGCGCCCAGGGACGCCATCGCGCCTTGGCAAGAGGCCCCCACAAGAGAGGAGGAGAGCCTGCCGTCCGCCGTCCGCCTGGCGAGCTTTGCTCGCCGGCCTCCCCCGGCGGCGGCAGAGAAGCAGGGGAAGGGCGAGGGTCGGGGCGGCGGCGGCAGAGAAGCAGGGGAAGGGCGAGGGTCGGGGCGGCGGCGGCAGAGAAGCAGGGGAAGGGCGAGGGTCGGGGCGGCGGCTAGGGTTCGCCCGAGCCGCCCCGCTGGAGGCGTCCAACCCTTTCTTCTTAAGCTTGAGCTATCACGCTGATGCATGAGGCAAAGAGAGAGAGAAGGGTGTTCATGTGCTTGATGCGAACGTACATTCCTGTTCTGAATGATTGGA